ACTGTAAACTGTTTACGCTAATGTAACAAAATCCTGTTTGTTTTTTAAATGTTCCCAGTTTCAGCACAATTAAATGAAATCTATCTTGCTCATTTAAACTGGTAATTCCCAACAAACAACAAGAATATGTAAAAACGTAGGGCATGACACTAAGGCATGGGGTTGGTAGAGGTTTTTGGTGCCTTGTATCGACAGGGATTACCTCTGGAAGAAACAGAAGCTCCAAAACAGGGGTTTTTTTCAGCAAAATGAAGGTTTTTAAAATGGGAATTTCATGCAGTTTCCCAAAACGTCTCTGCTTAGCCATTAATGTATTTTATATTTAGCACAAGACCACAAACAGACAGATTGCTAGAATAGAATGTTTTAGGAGAGCAAACCACCCTGTCTCTTTACTCACAGTGTTGCTAAAATAAAGAGCATGGCATAACATAGGAAATGAACACAAAGTAGAAAAATACAACATTTCAAAAACACTGGTTGAAGAAATTACATTGGAAGACTGAGAACAGACCCAACCCATCCCCAAGGAAAGCCATGGAGACATCCTCAGCCAAGCTCTGGGGAACACAGCCGGACAAGCTGCTCACACAGATCACTGCAAGCCTGAAATTACAGTTTGTCAATACAAAACAAACCTTCACTAAATACCCCCACCTGCACAGAGCAACACACCAGAGCACCCTTCTCTTTACCCACCCCCCTTGAAAACCCTGTTTTGTGCCATCTGCTCCAGCAAAGAGCTGGCAGGAGGCACCTGCTTGCAGCTTTTCCGCACTGACCACGGGCTATGACTTCCAATAGATTCTAATTTCACCAACTAGGGGCTGTTTAAATCTCTCCAAGCCATTCTGGACAGTGTAACACATTTTTGCATCATGCCACTATGACAGAAGACTGAAAAACAAGCAGAAGTTTTTCCTGGAAATTCACGTCTAGACAGCAGCTTCACAGTAATTTCTGCAGAACATTTCCTATCCTGACTCTGAACTCTGGTCATTCATAGTGAAACCACACCAGAGACACTCGTACTAACTCTCTCAACCACGACACAAGGAGATAAAGATAGTGAAAATTAAACACCTGCCTCACCAACATCCCTTCAGTCTCCTTGCTCTTCTGGTTTGGCAAAGGGGAACGTACAAATACTTCAAGTTCATACGCTTCATTTTTTTTTTTTTAGACAATAATCTTTTAATGGAGATAAGGTCTTTCATAATGTGTATTATTAAACATTCACTGTCTCAGCATTCCAACATTTTTGTAAAAGTAAAAGCCATTGGGATACCTTATTAATTTTGAAGGCACTAAGAACACTCACTGACTTCAAAAGCATCTTTGAAACCAAAGAATCCTGGACAGTGGGGCTGGATTTGCAGTACCTGATGTCATCGAGCTATACAAGTTGATATAAAAACTCAAAAGCATCTTGTATTCAAAACAAACTATGTTAGAAATGTAACAGAATGCAGTTGTACTCAGAGGTGCTTAAAAACTTCAATGAAAATTCCTAAATCCACTCCCACCCTATTTACATCAGACTGCTGTAATTGCACAAAAACTATCACCTTTGATAATTCATGCACAACCCACCTCAGATGCCCTCAGATGCAAAGAATATGTTAATTAAAATAAAGATCTGATTTTCTAAACTAGAATGGAAGGGATTCTATATGCTGAAAAGACAGCAAACAAACCTCACAACACCCTGAAGGGTTTTTTTGCCTTTTTTTTAGGGGGAGAATTTTTTTAATTGGTTGGGGTTTTTTTCCAAGATACTTAGAAATGGAAATTAGCAAAGTGATGATTTCTAAATTGTTCCTGCACTTGCAATTTTTTTTCTTTGCAAAGTGTCACCCATTCCATAATCCAACTGCCACATACAAGCCACTTTAACATTGTTTTCAATGAGTTACCACTGATCACTTCTATGTGGGGAGTTTTTAGTCTACAGACTTTATTTTAAGTCTACAGAAAGACTTAGAATAGGGAATCTTTTTTAACCAGAAAGCTGTATAAATAAAGAATTGAATCTGATCATTTTCATATGCTGCCAGGCTTCAGATGGATAAATATTTCCTAAGAGCTGGCGCCTCTGTTTTCGGTAGGAGTGAGTGGAATATTGCAGGATTCCCCTTCCCTCCCCCACTGAAGCAGAATCTGGTCTCTATTAAAGGCATTTTGACTGTAATTCTACTGTCAGAAATATCCTGATTTTCTACAGTGTTGCAATTCTTAAAACCATCATTAACACTGATGAGATCCTGTTCCACATCTGCCAATTCTGAGTTTTACTGCCTATGCCAAGCATGGCAGAAAAGTAAAATCTAAAACTTTAGTAAGGATGAAAGATATATAGAAATCATATTAGACCGATCATGAGGAAAGTATCTTCATTTGTGTGTAGCATAACATACATAAAAATTCACTCAGCACACTTAGAACTGGCCTTTTCCATATAAAAGCCTCCAAGTACCATCTTTGTAGTGAAAGCAAAGATACTGCTGGCCCCATAGAAATTACAGAAACAGAACACAAGGGAGTCTGGATTAAAGTTTCTGCAGCTGTCAGCAATGCAATCATCAGAAGGGTGCCACTGACAAACTATTTCCAAGCTGACTGAGCATGTCAGCATCAGAAAATTCAATACAGGCCACAAATACAACAAACACGGGAATGCACTTTTATGCATCACTTTCTGTTGAGAATTCAGTACCAGGATCACGAACACCAGGTGCTTACTGATTAAAGCTCATTTGATTCTGCCCAAATGCTGCATTAGACTGAAGGTAAGGCTAACAATGAATGATTTGGAAATGTGATTCCTCTTTAGGAATGCATTGTAAGTCTATTTCTGCTCTCTCCCACCTCATCCCAAAAGACCCTAATTTTTATGCAGTCCTAAGATCCAGAGTACAAAACCTTGTCTGTAAACATTCCAGATATATGTTCAGGACATCCTATCCCAAACACAGGAATGAAAACTGAATTGTAAAAACCAATTATAGACCTATGAGTACTGGAGGAAAAAAAAATCTCTTGGTTAGACATATTAAACACACACAGTAAAATAAATAGGACAGTATGCAAAACAATGCATTGCAATTATTAAAGATTTGTATTTGACATCACAAATTTGAAACAACCCTTAATATATAACTTTTCATTCTGCTTAAATATATTTCAAATCAGTAATTTTTTCTTTTCTTCCTTTCTGTAGGTGATCTACACCAGTGCTTTAGAGCTGGGACAACAACTATTGCTGTTTCAAGAGAAAATGGTTACTAACAGCTAATAAGGACATCATTTCATAGCAACTGCCTTCTGCCTTATTAAAAGCAAGAGTGTTTCCAGAAGTTATTGAACCCAGCTCCTGCAGACAGCCAAGCATGTTGCCTTTTGTGTCTTGGTGTCATGAGTTTTGATGTCTGTCATGAAGCCCCAGATGCTCAATATTACCTCAATCTCACTGTTAATTGAGGTAGTGTTTTTGCACAGCCTAGCTGCAAGTAAGTGTTTTCTACACTTGGAGGAAAATTAAGTCTCTCAGAACTCCAGAAGTTATTTCACAGAGCCTCATTCTTTTTTAACCTTCAGCATGGTTTCTTTGTAATAAGAGGCGTGGGGATGAAGAGCACAGTGCAAGGAGAACATATCAAAAAAGTTTTAAGCACATTAAGGTCAAAGACGTAAGATTGGACCTAAAGTTCCTACTGCATTGTTAAAACTAAAGCAGGCTGGCACAGGTCCTCATGAACAGCTTAAAGCTAATTCTACCTTCCTTCTGAAGTGAACTTAAAAGCAGGTTCTAGCCACGCTGTGACAGAATTATTCAGGCAATCCAGCTGCTGTTCCAAGAATCCAGTGGTAGCAAGGCCCCCAAGGCAAGGATTTTACCTTTGTTACAGCCGACATCTGACCTGGCTGCAGCAGTGTTTGCAAGGAGACACACTCCAGCCACTTCAAAGAGAGAGATATTATCCTCTGTGCCTATCTGTTCCCTCTCATTCTTATGCTCAGTGCCTTCCAGTTGTAGTTAGAAGGGAAGAAAGTATGTCTGATCATCCCAATTACCAGAAAGGATGTCAAAAGAAAAGTAGCTTAGCAATAACAATAATCAAATTTTCTAAAAACCATAGAACCAACCGATTGATCATATTTGATTACAGTTAAGTCAGGCTGTACTGATGAAGCAGGAAGTAAGAAACAACATTAGTTAAGGGAAAGAAATTCAAAGGCTTTCTGTGTTCTCCCTGTTCTCTCCTGACCTGCAGCCTGCCTTAACTTGCCAACTCTCCTTATGTATTATTACTTGTCCTCTTACAGCTCTTGCCTTTCTGACATCTCAGAGCAGCTGGTTTCCATTCCCTTTCCTGGCTCTTCTTTTCTCAATCCCAGTAATTTTTGCTTTCATCAAGAATGAACAAGATTCAAGACTGTGGGGCCCTGAAGAAGCAAAGAACAAGACAGGGAAACTAAACCAGTGAAAAAAAGGAGTGAGACTTCCCACCAGTAAGAAAAAGGTGAGAAGACAGTAAAACTAGCCTGTACAAGAAAGCAGATTGTGGCATCTGATTAAATTGGCTAGTAATTTTTCCCACAACATAGAAAAAAAAGCTCCAAAATTGTGCCCCCGCAGCTCCCAAAGCCTTTTCTGTGTTCATGAGAAATGCACGAGGCAAAAGGTCCCTCTCTCAGCTATCAAAGTATCATTTCAGAGAGAAATGGCACTGTGAATAAATGTATTTACAGCTTAAGTACTTACAGAAAAGATCATCTACAGAAAGGAAAAAAAGTACATGATCAGAGAATTCTTATCAAGACTTTAAAAACTTGAAATCCATTTTACAAGAGTAAAAAACAATGCATTTTGCAATTTTTATATAACAGCACTGAACAAACAAAATACACGACATTGTACAAACAGACAAATAAATGAAACAATCTAAAGTTTTGGGAAAGTACTAACCAGTTACTGACAGCAGCTGTGAAACCCTCACCTCCATTTCCTCCCGATGAGACCGGTCTCTATCCTCGAATTCACGAGTTCTTCGTCGAGCCTCCTCAAAGGCTTGTTGTGCCAATGCATCCTCCTGCTACCAAAGCAGATGACACAGAGTGACACAAAAGGTGACTCTCATTTCCACCAAACCACATTTCTTTTGGATATTAACAATCCCTTGGCAGCAAAGTCAAGTATGTCCTGCAGAACCTGCTAGAATACAGGCGAGTTCCAGCAAATGTCAATACAGGTTAATGAAATATTACTCACCTTTACTACAGCAGTAAGAGATAACAAAAGCTGGAATGCAGATACTCCTAAAATATATTTTCAAAGGAGAGCTGCTGCTCCAAAGTAGTTTAAATGCTGCTGGGGTTTTTTTTAAGGCTAGGAATTCTGAGAAGTTCTATGTAAAAGGCAACAGATTTTATTCTTCTTATAAAAGCCATTTTGAAGACTGTATTCACAGGTATAACTAGACAGAGTCCACTAGCATCACTATACAGACAGTGGTAATTTAATTCTCTTGCATTTAAAAGTAAGTATTATGGAAGTTACAATCCAAAGAAATCCTTCATTTTATCAAAAGCTTCTGCAGCTGCATCAGTATGAACATTCTTAATACTTGTGTATCATTTATATTATTTAAATTTAGATGGAATTTAGGAAAGTGCAAAGCAGAAATTATTCCTCCAGCAATTTGCACACATTCCCACACAATGGAGGAGAAACCTGCAGGTTTTCAACAATAACTTAGGCACTGGAAGAGATTTAATAAACAAACACTCAAAAAAAAAATCCTTCAAGCTATATTTTCTATTAGAATATGTTTTAAATAAAGTGCTAGTAACATGTGGAGCCATTATTAATCAGTTTAGAAGTTATTTTTCTTAGAGAGACCTTTTAACACATTTACTGCTCCCCATCAGAATTAAAAAAATTTCAGAATTGAAGAGTCCCATCTGAAGAGGCTCCACAAACCAGGAAGGGATAAACTGTATTGATTCTCCCTCCTTCCAGCTCTTCAACTGTAATTGCTACTAATTCTGCTTACAATACCTGCATACATGCAAATGTTATTTTAAAGTTGCTAATTTTAAAAAAAAGCTGACCTTGACTGTTAGAGGACATAAACATGTAGAGAGCATAACTAAGTTTTAATATACCTGGGGACTGAGTGCATAAATTTTTCAATTTAAGATAAAGCATCCCCAGCCTGAGAACATGTTAAATTGCCTTTTTTGCCGTGGGCACAATCTCAGGCCCTGGAGCTGCTCTGTGAAATGATGGGAAGGGGCTCCCTCGTGGCCCAAGGCAGGGAAACACAAACAGCTGCCAATCCCAGCCTCTGCCTCGCGCCGTCGCTTTCTGGGGATGCGTGTGCAGTGTTTAAAGCTGCCAACAAGATAATACTTTAACACCATATATTTTTTTTTTAAGATTAGAATTTTGCCCTTTACAGCCATTTTAATGTTCATACAAGGCATAGAAACCAGGGTCAGAGAGTGGAAAGGAAGTTTGTTCTTAATAATGCAGAAGGTTAGAGAGAAAACATAAGCTTGTCTCCCGGATGACTCCAGAAAAGCTGCCTTAGTTCTAGTTTACAAAAGACATGTATGTCTTTATTGCCATCTTTTTAAAATCAGACTTAAATAGAAGATTCTTTTTTTTAATCAAAGGTTTTTGCATTTTACCATCATTTAGAGCGGTCATGAAATAAAAGGCTCACATACAGCTTTGGAGGAAACATTTTAAAGAAATGGTCATAACCAAAAGAAACTAAATTAGAAATTCATGGGAAAAAAATCAGTATGTCGACATCCAGAATGAAGATGTGTTGACAGCTGAAACACTGGTTTGCTCATATCTGAGAAAGGGAATAAGAGCACCAGAACTTTTTCTTAGTAAAACATAAAATTCTGCTCTGCTCTTGGTGATACATTATAACAAATCAACCAACAACTCAACCTTATACAACAGAAATTTAAGAATTTTTTTTTTAACATGTCACTCAATTCTACCTAGTAAATTCAGCTGTATGAGACCAAATAATTTATACATCTTAGTTTCATTCTATAAAAATGTTCCTGGTATAAATTTACAAAGAAAAACAAGAATAAGCAAAACATGAGCAACAGAACAAGCAATCAATATGACAACAGAACAAAATTAAACCTCTCAGTCCAGAAAAAAATTAAAATTTAAAAAAGAGAAGCTTACACACACCCACACTTATACACAAATCCTCACAGCAGCACAGTAGGAAAAGACTTGGTGAGATAGCAAAATGCTCTACTACAGAAAAGGTGAAAAGTACTGAAGACAGAAACAGTCTCTTAAAGACACTCAAATATCAAATCCAGGGGAATTTCAGCCTCAAAGAGGAAAGATATTCAAGTATGTATGTACAACTTTGTGTATGTTGGTCCATCAAAGTCTGAGCAAGCAGTGGAACCAGGGCTTTCAGTAACAAAAAGTTAAGATCACTTAGCAACAAGACATGGATAGGCTGTGGATTAAATGGAAAAAAATAGTAGCTTAACAGGTACAATTAAAATACTTCAATGTTAACACATGTGGATTCTCTTCCTAAAGTATTTGTTGACCAGGTAAAGGGTAGTATGTTTCCCAAAGAATGACAGCAAAGAAAAATTTTATTTGATCCCAGCATTAGTATGAAGTGGTAAGAGAGAGGAAAATGCAAGAGCACTACATTTGCTTAAGACAACCTTCCGAAAAATGAGGGGGGGTGTGAAGAGCAGCTGGACCTCTTACAAAGGACAGTGGGTACACAGGCAATACTGCATGAGGCACTTAAGCCCCCTCTGACATCCGTTTTACTTTGGGATCAAAGTCAGCAGTTCAGTCAACCACCACTGGCAATATTACAACAGTTTTAAACAGGGAAGCAGAGTGACAGATACAGGAAAAAGGAAACTGAAGAATATAAAAGATGGTCCAAATGTTTACAATACTAACACACGTAAGGGTGCAGACACTCCTGTGTCTGTATAGTTTTTTTATGACATGGGGCACCCTTAGGTACTACTATTGTAGCAAATAGAATGACCACTGATGACCTCAGAGTTGTGAAAAATCACAAACTAAAGACAAGTTACACACCTGCAACGGAGTGCAAACACCTCTGTAGATGCACACAGTGCAACAGCTCCAGCTCAGCACTCTGTACTCACTACTCAGGAGAGCGCTGACACCTGAGAGCATGCACTCATCCCCTCACACACACAAAGAGTAAATCACAACCACAGTGCACAAAACACTTTCTGAAGACAACAAAAGGGAATTGTTAAGTGTTGTTAAGACAGCATATACACATTGGGAAACTAAAGTAATCCAAGCACTTGCAAAAACATTTCTTGGGAAATTAGGAAGAGGAAAATTAAACCCACAAGTCACATGACCCCTCTCCTTTCTGGAAGGGTGCCCACTTTCATCAGGCACTCTCCAGTTTTGGAAAGGGAGACATTGTCTCCTCCTGAGTCCATGTTCCCATCAGCCTGCTCTCAGTTCAGAAGTCCTGCTACTTAACGTTATGTATCAAACTCACTAACAATAGATTAAGAACCTAGGGATTTCAGGGCTGTACACTTCTCCTAGCTGTGTAAGGCATTACAGCCTGAAGGCCTCCTAATCCACAGCACTGACCCTGCTGCAGCTGGAACTGAGCTTGCTCGACACTGACACAGCTTTGCAAGAAGTGAATGCAGAGCAAAGAGTGGATTTCAAATTAAAGCTTTGGTCTGCGGCTTTTCTTATGGATTCACAAAGGGTGGCAGGACTATTCTCTCTTTCTAGACACAAAGCATTTTGATTCAATCCCAAACATTGTCACATTAACATCACCTCATTAATGTGCAAATTAGTTTCTTAAGTTAGGGAGAGGCAAAGCACAACAGGATTGCTCTTGGTATTTTGGAAGAATCAAAGTTTTAAAATACTTTATTACTCTGCAGCATGGTAACAGCGCAAAATCACTCAAAGTTGTAAATTACAAATTATTCCTGCCCCTAACATTTTGACCTAATGTAGCTAAACTAGTGTTTTGCTACAACCACATATTTCTGAACTTCCATACTGCAAGTTTTTTTTTGGAGTTTGTACGCAAAGTGAAGGCAAAAACTGTGTTTTCCTCCAGAAGAATAAACAAATACAAAAGTAGCCAAGGGCAGATTGTCTTACCTGCGCTCGCTCTTCATCAAATTCCAGGCAGCCCATACCATCCAGTCTCTGTAGATCTATCCAGCCTTTCCAGATTACACAGACACCATTGAGAATCATAGGTGCCTTCAAGTACACCTGGAATAAAAGCAAAACATATGCTATGAATTTGCAAGCTCTTACACATGTGTCTGCACAATGAAAATACCAATCCAGGAAGCTCCTATATGTATTCTTAGAAGAACATCCAAACCAGCTGGTAACATGAGACTCCATTTAACAGCTTCTACTGCTTCCTCTCCAAGAACTCATTTTAATCAAGTGAGTGCTTTAACTTTTGCCTACTGTACTGGATGGAATAAATTTAAGCTGTGTTCTCATTTTACAAACTGGCGTGCACCAGGATTTAGTTAGAATTCTTACTGCTGCTGTTAAAACTAAAGAGTTTTTCTTGTCAGCTTACCTCTGTGTAACAAAGGAAGTGGCATGCTGCCAGTCAGGGAGGATCTGACAGCACATCTAAATAGTTAAACAAGCACATTTCTTCCTACTCCCAAAAAACACTATTTTATCCCAATAAATGAGTGATTTCAACAAAGACCAAGTACTGGTTTCAGTCCTCCTCAAATTTAAAAACTACTCAGAGCTCAGTAAAATACACGATATACACATTGTGCTAAAAATAAAGAAGTCTTCCTGTGTCAATTCTAGCACGTGTGCTAGGCTTTCCAAAACAAGCAACACCAGCTGATGAAAACCCGAGTACAGCACCAATATGCACCGTGCCTTGTGCTGCAGCACGCAATAATGCATGATCCTAAGGCCCTGCATCTAGATAACAGTACACAATACACTGATGTCACAAGGCAACTTAGAATCAAATACAACACTAACTGCGTTTGACATGTTATACTTAATGACATCAGTCTTAAGCAAAATAAAGGGTCACAGCAAAATTAACTGAGTTATACAGAAAAGGAAAAAAAAAATTAAAAATCAACACTCAGTAGTTATTCCAGCCTACTTGGCAACTCAAAACCTCTATGGAGCAGGAGTTTGCCTGTGTTGAATCACCAGAGAGGGAAACCTGCACACACGCCTGCACCCACTTCAGATTGAAAGACTGCTTAGACATTCCAAATCCATTTGAGTTTTCTCAGCCTTCAGGAGCAGCTCGGGCTCAGCTAGGTAGGGGAACTTTCAGACAGCACTTCCTCTAACAGTTCTAAATTAATCCTCTGGCAAATCCTCATCAAAGCGTAATTGATGTTTAGCACTATAACGCATTTCAAAGCACTCCCACTGTGCCTACTTGCTCAGTTCCACACTTACCAGCTAAGGTCACTCAAGCAAATAAAGAAAGGGCTTGAGAAGAATGAGGCACAGAGGAAGGGAAGCCCTCCTCATGCACAGGCTGTGCTGGCAGAATTAAGCACTGAACAACATGAAAGGCAACCCATGAGTGGAGAAAAGGGAACAAATAACATGAATCAAACTGACAAACAAGTAATGTTATTTGCCAAAGAAAACAAACATTTGATCTCCAAGCCTGATTTTTACAACTTATAACACTTTGGTATGAAGTGACACAGCTTTAGACCTTTTAATTAGTACAACATGCAGCAGCTCAATAATGAGGCAATAAATGTTATTTGTTTGAGCTTATCTTCTTCCCACCAGCACTTGTACTGCAGGGTCTCTGCTAAGAGCACAGGCTGTTTTTCTGTGCCTGCACTCAGCCCATCTGAGAGTCATCACACCCCAGCCTGGCGTGGGACAGCACACCAGACACATCTACTGGCCAACAGCGTCTGCGAGCAGAGGTGTCAGAACCAGCATGAGTAAGATGTGGACTACCAGGAAACCACTTCCCACAGCTCTCACGTCAAGATTAAACATTTCAAACATACAAAATACACTGCAGCCCTATCAGCACAGTCTTCACCCATTCATCCCGTAAGAAACAAACGGAAGATGCAGCATCCATTTAATAGATGTATTTAATGAGTTGAGAAGGGCAAGACAGTTAAAACAGCCACTCTTAAAAGTCACAGTTAAAACTATCATTCTCTTCTAAGGCAAATGAAGAATAATTCAAAAGGGGAAGGCAGTATAAACTAACCTTGGGTCTGTAAAGACAAAAAAACCCATACTCTAATGCTGGTTATGTTTTGCAGGAGCAAACAAGCTGAGCAAACAAACTGTGCTGATCTTCATTTAGGATTTACCTCTCACTCAACCTCCCCTATCCTTGTGATCCACAACAGCAGCCTGGGACATCAAAAGTTACATAGGCCTTCCCACAGATTACAAAACTCAGCTTTCCAAGCTGTCCAGGAATACTTTTTTGTTTGTTTCTTTCATAAGTAAAATTATGCTGCCATTTCAGTGGCCGTTCAACTGCCTTGGTCACTGCAGCTGCCAGTGCCTTACACACAAACTTCCTGCCTCGGTGCAAACAGCAGCCAGCTCACACAGCTGCTGAGGGCTCAATCCTTCTAATGCCTCGTGCCCGAGCAGCACTGCAAATTCTGTGAAGGTCTTCAGAAGTCAAAGGGAAACAAGTTGACAGAGCTGATGTGATTCTTGATTCCTACAATCTGCCCTGAGCATGCTGGCCAACAGCTGAGCTGCTGACACAGCAGCTTGGGAACCTCTGGCATGAAGCCTGACCTTTCCAGATAAAGTAGTCTGCCCTTGCTCCTGAATCAGAGCCCTGGAAGCCTGACACCACTGGATCCAGGAGGTCTTCAAAACTCTGATAAACAAACATTTTTCACTTCTGAAAGCATGAATTCCTTCTCCAGATACTCCGATTTTTGAAATTACCACATAATCATTCAAATGTAGTAATCGTTCATCTTGAAACCCCACGAGCTTATGCAGAAACTTTTCTCTCATTAAAACACAATAATGCATAATGTTACTTTTTAATTTATTTTAGAGAAAGGAATTTAAACTCCTTTTCCCCCCTCTCCTCTTTCAGGAAAATGGAAACCACCTAAGATTATAGCCAAAAACGTTTAACCACATATTTCCTTCTTTTCAGATAAAGCCATGCTGGTTCCCTTTCAACTTCTGAACTTAACAGAATTATTAATAAATTACTGCTCTGTCTGTGAACACATTATCTATTATGGCACCTCAAAATCCAGCAAAGTGGTCTTCCAAAAAATTTCTGAATTGTCTTCTCTAAAAATTGCATCAAGACAGTCATGCTAGGAGACCAAGGGCAAAAGCTGCATTATTTCTAAAAAGAACCAAAATTTCCCCCGCTCGCTAATAGCATAGAAGTAGATAAAAGCATGTCTTTGTTAGAACAACTCTTTCAAGGTTTTATTGCTAACCCCAGATTACCTGCATTTAAATCATTTTATAAATCCTCCACGCACCTCTGGGTACTTTTCATAATAATGCCTGGCAGCTGGTGATGTAAAAGTCAAGACACAGGTGAAAGCACTACAGAACAGAAGGAAGGACGAGAGGTTGGAAGTCAGGCAATTACCAAATTCATATTCAGTGGACAAATTTAATGCTACATAAAGAAACACCAGCATAGGGACATACAAAATGAAAAACTAAATTATGCAGCAGCCTCTTATCCTATACACAGTCTATCCTATAAACCAAAGGAAGCATGGCTTTTCTGCCACTGACAGTGGACAGTTGTGTAACTAACTTAAGAACCTCTGTATGCATGTTGAAGGTGAGACTAAGTTCTCTCTCATTTTGCACCCTTATTTCCCACACACTGGCAGAGCCAAAGCTTTGTTAGACTAGGAGACCTAGGTAAACTATAATATGCAATTTTTAGTTTAAAGCAGTTGAATTTTTGTTCAGGTGGCTATTACAGAACTAATTTCATCTCAGATGAAATCTATTTCAAACTCCTATTACAGACCAAAGTAGCACTAGAATTTTTTAAATGAAAAACACAGACATGCTACTTTTATGTTTGAAACAGGCTTTTAGTATTAGAACAAATATTCTGCTTGCTGACTGAACAAGCAGCAAGAACACACATTCCTAACTGCTGGCAGATTATCTGGACAGAGGACAAACAGCACCATAAACACACAAACTTGAGAAGGTGCTGCATGAATAGGCTTAGTTGGGCTCTAAGCTGTTGAGCAGTGTTTGTGCTTCCTTGGCCTCCCTGCTGGCTTGTTCTCAAAGACCTCCTGCCACACCTTCAACATATAGTTGTTGAATAGTATATCTCACCTTCCCTTTTGTATTCTTTTGACTAATCTGTTATTTCTTTTCATCTGCATTTAAATGAGCAACCCTCTCCTCCAACTCCAATTAACTGGGAGTTATCTCTGTTGTTAAGAACAGGTAGGGACATGGCTCCTTTAACACCATTCATTCATACTTTAAAAGCCAAACTAGAGGACAATTCTTAATTACTTTTTAAAAAGCTACTGTATTCTAGCACAAGACAAAAAACCTCAGTTTCACATCCTATTTTAGTCATCTAGTAAACCCTTATCTCCCAACAGCAGGGTATTCAACTGATCTGCTGGAGGTATGCTATCTGTGTGCTCCATCCACACATCCTGCAGTTACAGAAAATGCTCCTTCTCCCTACAGCAACTGAGCCATTTCCTCCCCCAGTGCTCACACACAGCTCTCACCACCCACCCACTAATGAATCAGCAGGCTCACAACAGCCAGCACCACCGAGGAGATCACTTCACCCCCCAGGAAACACCAGTCCCCAGTGAAGTGGTGCAGTCCCCTCCCTCCCGTTTTCATTTTCCCAGCACACTGGAGCAAAATGCATTCTTTCAGAAGAGGCTCAGTTCTGACTCACCCTCTGCCTCATCACGCACACACATGCCCATTCATAGCGAGCCACGTCCGTCCATCCATCCATCCCACTTCTGATCCCACCTTCCCCTGAATCATACCCCATTTTTAAATACTTAAAAAGCAGTCTCCCGGGTGATTTCATGTGAAACACTGACCACTAAGAAAGAAGCAGCTTCGAACCTTACTCCACACTGTTAAATCGGGAAAGACTAGCCTCGCTATTTCAGCTTCTCAACATTATCTGTATACACTAGCAAGTGAAAGGAAACAACCTGTACAAAATGTTCCAATGAGAAATTATGTATTCAACTGTTTCCTTTAAC